AAAAGTTTATGAAAATTCTCTGACTTCGATATTAGGAGCTGAAATTGGAAATTTTGCATTTCATTAAACGAGTTCTTTTTTTTTTTTTCAGGTGGCAAGAAAACATTTAACACAGATTCTTTTAGCCTCATGATTTCTGAAGGACACAAGAGCATAGAATATCCAAAGGCTTATTTACTGGATATTCCAACAAGGCACATTCGACACACACATATACAATGGAATTCTGTATTTCGGCAGTAATGATGAACAAAAAAAAATTATTGACTTCACAATGACTTTTGCTTATCATTCTTATGGTTAGGAAAAACTGATTTGATTTTTTGACACTTCTATGTATTAAAGAATCCCTTCAGTTTAGTAACAGCTATGCTAAGCTACATTTAGAAAGTGACAATTAATTTTAGTGGAAATTCATTCCCAGGCTACTTTGATAGTCATCTGAACAGTTTTGCGTTATTTTACATGCAATTTTATAGCTCTATAACATTCATTTAATCTTGTTCAATGATGCTGAACTCCAGATGCCATAAGACATTATAGGAAAGTAGTTACTGCACATATGGGGTAACTACTTTTCTGAACATTAATTTCTTTTCTCTTAACAGGCTGAAATGGTATTTATGAAAGAGAAAAGCAACTGCTCAGTATTAAAGTTTTTATATTATGGACTTCCAGACATGGGCTACTTAGGATTGCTGTGGTCCTAGCCATAAAGTGCTTAAGCCTTAGTAATAATATTTTTCTCCAGCTTTTCTAAGAAAAGTTGGGGTTACACTTTGGAATCAGGGTATCTGAAAGAGCTTAGGGGTAGGAGGGCTTTCCTTATCTGTTATATGCAGAGGTTGGATAAAATTGGAGGTTCTCAAAGTGAAGTCTGAGGTCCACTAGCATTAGAGTCAGATGTCGAGGCCTCTTCATCCTCCCAGACCTCCGGGGTGGAGGTGGGGAAATGAGTGTGATGAGTAAGAACTGCAGAGATTCCTGTGCATACTAAGGGGTGAGAAGCACTGGTAGATGATCTCAAAGGTCTCTTCCATTCTCAAATTCTAAATTTCTGAGTTTTCTTTCAAAACTCGAGCCATGTCAGCCCCATGAAAGATGGTGACTTTTGGTTTCAATGAGATAATTAAGAAGATTTCTTGAATTTTGATGTGTATATAAAAATAGTAGAAAATAAATGCAGAAGCATCCAATCAGAGGGTAAGGAATCTAGTTGTGATTTTTTTCTTCTTGAGAACAACAGACTAACTTCTACACAGGTTCCAAAGGACTTTTCTCTGTACTCAGTTCTTGGCTTTTTCCTCGCCACCCTCTGACTCTTCCTGGCTATTGAGACAACTGTGCAAGGCTTTTCACAGTCCTGAGCCACTAAGCTCTAATTTCAATTGATCTCAATATATTAAGAAATAAATAATATACAGGCAGTCCTCTACTTGAATGTGTAATGAGTGAAATCATACAGAAACATATAATATAGCAAAGTTGCAGGGTCAGTTTACATTTTTAAAGGGAAATTCTCTATCTAGAAATCTAAAAAAGAAAAACCCAAATCCCGATATCTTTGTCTTCAGCCACACTATTGACTAAGTATTTCCCATATGTTTTCTATATAACTTTATTCTTCCTTTTCATAACTGCTTTTAGGGCCAATGAGCCTAGGATTTGAGATTTTTTAAAGCATGCCTGGAGAGTTCTATCTTTGACACATTTTTATTAGGTGTATGAGAACTCAATGTCTATCACTAAGTATGATTTTTACACTTTCTAATCAAATTTTTGTAAATGCCTATGGATCAAAATATAGCAGGATCCTAAAATAATCCCACAAACGTAGCTGGGTCCCTGGTGCTGCTGGTCTAAACTGTTGGCTGAAAGGCAGCACACCATGTGGTCGTTGCAAATGTTGTCAGTTTTGTGTCAGTGGAAAAGTAGGGATCCTCCAGGATAGCAGAAGACCTCTCTGGTCCTAAGATGGCTCTTCCCAGACTCCAAACACAAAGCCAATTGGTCACTGAGAGTGAGAGGGAGAAAACAAGCAGCCGATTATAAAAAGGATGTCTGATTATAGGACCACATCGGTGGCCAGTGTGGGACAGATGTTTAGTGCTGAGGAAGGTGGCTTATTGAGGAGGTTAGGTTGACAGACAAAATGGCCTTCCATATATGGAAGCCTGTGCCAAGATACAGCTCTCAGACTTCAATGTCCAGCTCTGTCCCTTGCTCGATTTATGTCCTTCAGTGAGGGACACGTTCAGTCCAGGTTCAGCTGGAAGATTGTATATTGTGTCTACTGGACTCAAATGTATCTAAAGTTCCTTTCAACTGCCGTCTTATGACTGCATACGGTATAGACATGAGGTAAAGTCAAGCAGAGGCTGAAAAGGGTAGAAAGAACTTCACATTCCAGTTCACTGAGTTGTGTTTTCCTTTTCCTATTGTCCCTTCATTAAGTGTACCACGAATTTAATAGCAATGTTACTTAAATGTGCGTATTTGCTGTAAACTGTAATGTCATTTCAGAAATACAGGAAAGGTGGGGCAAAGGAATACTGAGTAGGCCAGCACCTCAGAAAGTGCTTACAGAAAGTCAATGGAAATACTGCATGGATAAGTCTTTAAAGGGCATCACTCAGTATTATTTAATAGGCACAACTTTCCCAGTGGAAGCAAGTGCCTATGATATGACAATCTAGGAAGTAGTGGGGGAGGGGAGGAGAGAGAACACAAATACTGGTGTCAATCAGCTGTCCAGGCTCTGCCTCACAGACTTAGGGGAAATTACGAGAGAAAAGAGTGAGCCCCTGAGGTTCCGTGTGGCTCACACTTAGCCAAGACGGTGACCTGCTCTAACACAAAAGTCACATGCCCCCAAATATTTCCTTCTATCTCAACAGCACATCAGCGCCTTCAATCTACAGAGGTAATAAGAGGTTTTTAAACCGATTAAATCAGCTTAGTTCATACAAAGTCTATTATGACTAAATATTCAATTAAAACAATTCCCAAAGCAAAATCTGACAAAATCCACTCTTAAAGTAATTTAGATGATAGGTTCTTAACATCAGGCAAATTAAATCCTTCTCATGGTTGGCATTTTCCAAAAGGTCAGAAATAGTTGCAGAAGTTCATTGGGACAAAAATCTAGGTGTGCTTGTCACGTTCCATTCTCATAAACAACAGAAACCCGAAAGCATAACATGAGCCTAACGTTCCTATTACTTTATTTTATTTTTACTTCAAAGGCTACATACATGCAAAAGTTGAACATGTCATCACAAATGCTTTAAATAAAGTTCAAAAATAAAAATTCCTTAAAATTCGTTTACTTATGGAAATATATATGACAATTATCATGAGGTCAATTATATCCTTTTTTCTAATCTTCAGAAAAATACTTATATCATAAAAAGTAATTTCAATTAATGTCCAAAATAATTTTTTAAATCCTTGAGGAATAATTTTAAAACAAGTTAAGTGTTTAGAGAAATACACATCGTTTAGAGAAACAGGCTTTTGCTAGAGGGATCCAATATCCTTATATGAGAAATTGCTGAAGAAACTCAAGTTTAGACAAAAGCATTTTAAAAATGATCATTGATTACTATGGCTGATGTAGTTAGTAATACAAGAGGAGGGCACAACTTTTATAACAGACACTACTGAAAGTCATTTAAAATATTTGAATGGGGAACTTTATTTACGAACAGATGTGAGAGGCTTAAGAGTAGACCCACCTCTCTGTGCTGGTGAACATCGCAAAAGGGATCCAAAATCCTGGGTGCCAGGAAGTTCTGGATGCACTGCCCTTTTAGAGAGATGGGTAAGCGCACACTAGTTCCCATGACTCCAACAACAAATCAACGGGAAGGGCTTATTCAAACGGACTTGCCCTTTCTCAGGAAAAAAGCACCCAGAGACTGGGCAAAAAACCAAAAAAGCCAAGAGAGGGAACTCAGTGCATTCAGAGTGAGGCTCAATACTTCCGAGATTTCCTTCTACTGAAACCAGTACGTCTTTGGTAGTATAGTACCGACAGTTCCTGTAATGGACATGTACAGGATGCACTTAAAGTTCAGCTTTGTGAGTGTTCTGCAGCCTGGAAATGAGACTCAACTTCCTGCTCCTACATGAAACTGGAGGAGAAGGCTACCCAGGTTGGAGGGCCATTGATTATCAGAAATGACACATCACATGGGTATGAAAGGGGACCACTTAACAAAGTGTGTTAGAATTGATTTGGAATGTCCTCAGTGGGTAAACACACTCACACTTTGGGAGAAGCTCAATTGGAACAATTAAAAAAGATCACCTCCTGTTTAAATCAGAAATATCATGTTTCCTACTGGGAGAAACTGCCTGCCACTACCCCATGCCTTCCATTGAAAAGGCCAAACTAACAGTCTGGTTAGAAATATTTGCACAGAGAGTCCCCAGATCTAGAGTTTAATTTCTATCCCGATACTGAACTGAGACTAAAATTTTCAGGTTCAGCAAACCAACTGTTATATTCCCTTTTTGTTAAAAAAAAAAAAGTCTTAAAAAGGAAAAATAAAAAGATGTATGCTAGCAGTGCAAAATTAGGTTAAGTATGGTTTTCCTTTTCTCTGGGACAGAAAAACAAAACAAAACAAAAAAACCAGTGCCCAGCTCTCAGTATGAAGAAATGTGTCACAACAAATACTCAGAAGACAGGTTTCACCACGCTAGTGTTCCTCTTCACACAGTGTGGTTTCAAAGCAGTATTGTCATGATTCTGCATATTCTCATTAACTAGGTACAGCAGAGCTACTCAAAGAGAAACTGAGTTCTTGTGCCTCAATAAAAAGGGAGTGTAGGAAACAATAATTAGCCTGTATAAGGAATTTTAAAGGGCAAAAAAGAAAAAAAAAAAGAGTTGGAGTGAAAAGAACAAAGAATTTCGAAAGCTACAAAAAATTAAAAAAAAAATAAGCGAATGATATGATGATGGTAGAAACCCCCCCACCCCCCCACACCTGCCACTTTGATCCTAAGCGCCCAGCCCGCAGGGACAGAACCCACTCTAAATTGAGCAGCATCGGGCTTCCGCATGTCTTCTCTTCACTCTCCCTGCTGTTAAGACCGGTTCCAAAACCAATCAGCAAAGGACAAAGAATTCTTTACAGAGTGCAATTACTGTTTTCCACGTCCACCTTCAAAAGCATGATGCTCTTCATGGGCTAAAGGACAGAAAAAAACAAAAAAGAAAAAAAGGAAAGAAAACTTTAAGCAAAGGATGGGCCAACCCTCCTCTAGGCATCTCATTCAGCTTCCCCAAATGTTGGCAATGGCAAGAACTCAAATACCATTTTTTTCTTTCTTTTTTTTTTTTTTTTTTGCCAATAACTGTTAGCTAAGGTGTGCATTTCCTGAGAAATGTAATAATGAAAATCAAAACAAGGAATAAACAAGCAATGAGCATGCTGCCTGTTTCTTCCTGCTGTGCCTGGGGGGAGATGACTCATCCCCACAAGCTGATGAAGACTCTGCTGTCTTCTGGGCAAATGCTTCAGGCAAAATGTGCTTCCACACAATGCATGGAAAGGGGGACCTATCTTATCCACCACAGAGCCATCCACAAGCCTGGCTTCCATAATAAAATAACAAAAAACAAAGAACCACACCAGGGTGACAGGAATTATATTATTACTTCCCCCCTCACCTCTCCACACCTTCCATGGGAAATGAAGTTTCACAAAATTTATGGGTCTCTTATTTTTCCAACCATGTCCCCCACCACTACCACTGGATTTTCAACTATTGTTTGGCTTGCAGAATAATTCATTGCAATTAGGAGCTTTAGAATAAAAACATTATGCTACCAAAAATATTTCCAAAGACTTAAGCATTTTGTAAGTGAAATACAGGAAATGGGAGACCTACGAAATACCATCCATGGCAAAAGGCCAAGTATGAAATCCTGGATTTGGTAGACCATCATTATGAAGCAAGGTCTAGTAACAGCTTCAGGTATCCACATAAGAGATCAGTCAGGATCCCCTGTGCTTGGTCCCCACCCTGCCTCCAGCAGTCAGTGGTGTCCCAGGAAGGCACAGATGGGTGGGCCCATTTAGAAAACCTTTGCAGCTCCTCCCAATTCTCTGTTTTTAATATGGACTAAATGCTTCAAACTCTATTGCTTGGATAGGGGAACTGTGGGGCAGAACTATTTGTTCTTCAAGATCTTTTTGGACGGTCACTCCAATGTACTCTTCATTTGGATAACACATTGGGGAAAATGCGCCTTATACCCCAAGGGTTACCTCGGGCAGGCCAGATTCCTAAGAGTGGCCTGAAATATGACCTAATTTAACTGAACGTTTCTCACAGCTATAAGTTTATAAATATTTCACTTTTTGCTTGTTTTGTTTTGGCAGTAGTGAGGTTTGAACTCCAGGCTTTGCACTTGCTAGGCAGGTACTCTATCACTGGAGCCACATCCCTGCCTTCCTCTCCAGCCCTTGGTTTTTTCTTTTTAAGAAAGATGTTTTAGGGCAGACACCAAAGAGAACATGGTTTTGTGTGTAATGAAATATACTATGCTTCAGGATCAAGACTAGGAGCCAGAGAACAATAGTGATACTGGTTTACAAATGATAAGTCCAGAAACAAAGACTTTGATTATTTCCAGGTATGAGGGGCAGCCTGTGGGGCACAGCTGAAATACTGCAGTGTCAGTAGGTTAAGGGGACAGTGCAACAAAGATTCAGAACCAGCCGCTGTCAGACTTAGGACAACTGTGATAAGAGGGGAATACAGAACTACTAGTGAAGCCAGGAGTCAGAAAACTGTTCTGGAAGTAGCACTTTTTTATAGCTGAGGCTGGCCTCAAACACAATCCTCCTACTCAGCCTCCTGAGTGCCAGGTTTACAGGCAGGTACTTCTTCCAGTATTAAAGCAGCTATAAAAAACATGGGCACCCATAGGCATTTCTAGGTGCCAATAAAACTACTCATGGGAAATGAAACTTGATATCCACATAATTTTCATATGTCACAAAATAGAGTAATTTTTTCTAACCATTTAAAAATGTAAAAACAGTTCTCTGCTGCACCCATACAAAAACAGGTGAGGTGGGAAGGGGAAAGAAGGGTCCTAGTTTGCCAACCCCTACCTCTGAACAATCCTCACATCAGAAAAGACAAGAACCTAACAGAACAGGGTGTTGCAGGAGAGGTCTCTGTACATTGTGAATTTCTCACTCAGATAATCAATCTACATCAAAATCACATTTAACTTATCGATGACCTGTACCTCATCCATCCACTGGAAGCCAGGACAGAACATGCTGGGGGTTCTTCTGTGGGAAACTGGTGCTCGCCTAGGTTCTACGAGCTATGAATACTTACACAAGGAGTCTACTAACAAGACAGGGAAGACGTAGGAACTGGGCCACTTCTAGCTTAGCTCGCTCTGGGACTCTTCATCATACAGTGAATTGGATTTCTGCACAGACCTCATTTTTCCAAATCACTTCTGCACACGTGGTATGTAACCCCACTAAGTAAAGGACTGCCTGCTTTATAAAAAATAAAGAGAATGGCTTGCATTTTTTGTCCAGTTCCAATTTTTATTTGAATGATCTTTTGAGTTCTTACATGTTTAGTGCAGCCATTAAAATTTGAGTTTCTGCTGTGAGGCCTGCAGCCAGTTCTGCATAACTCACAAACTTGACAATCGTGGCTACCTTTAGGGTGTCTGTTCAGCTTAATTTAGCTGGCCAAGGTACAACTATCTTTCCCCTTGTTTGGTGTTTTTCTCCCTCCTCCCTCTCCCCTGGCTATCGCAGGTAAGAGGTGAATCATCTCATCTTTACCTGGTTATGGCCACAGCTCTGGAAACTAACCTAACAACTCTGTAGCCTAATTACCTAAGAAAACACTTAAATTGTGTGGAGCTGCTGCTAACCAAAAGCTCTACCTGGCAGTTTGTTCATAGAATTTTGAAGTAGAAGGAACCTTGGAGATCATCAAAGACCAACCTCCTTGACATTCACTTGAGAAAGTCAAAGGACGAAAAGTTGTTACTTGCTCAAGGTGACGCTGTTGAAGTGGGACAAAGACCCAGAGTGCCTGACGTAATGATTTCCAAATGGCTTTTCTCTGCCCTTGAGTCAAATTTGGGGCTGGCTCAAACTTGGTAAGGAACGTCTTAGCCCTGTTCATACATGGTAATGAATCACACACTTCCTTCTGTAGTTTCTGCCAGTTATTCTTGTGGAACAAAAACCAGGAGAAACTCTTGGAGACTTTTCAGTTAATATCTGGAGTCAAATAAAATGAATGTATCCCTAAAGAATAAAAATGGTTCGACAAATTTACAATTTCCACATGGCACAGCCAATAAGCAATGTTTGCAGTGCCATCTTTGTGTCTTTTTTAAATTTAAACTTACATCAAGAGTTCAGAGGATCTGTACCTCCTAAGCATACGTAGTGCCAGACCACTCTCCCTTGCCCAAAGCCTGGCTTGTTAGCTGATGACTGCGTCCTCTCAGGGAGGCCAAAGTTTTCAGATCTGCTATCATTCTAGGACAATCACAAAATAAATTTTGATTTTTTAAAAATCCTTTGGGGCAAGGAGTTGGGAAAAGTGAGACAATACGAAGTGTATTTCAACAATTCTAAGATGTTCCTAACGCCACCATCCTCATGATATTTGAAGACTCAGAAATCAATAATGTATCATAGTTTCTTTCAGAACCTTTTATTTTTCTCTCTTAGCAATACTAAAATAATGAGGTATCTTATTATCAAGAGCATCTTAGATCCAATGAAATGCAGTAGTTTAGAAAAGTGACTTAGTGACTCTAGGAACTGTTATGGACATAGGAAATGTATAACTTATGTATAGGGCTGACAGTCTTTCTCTCTAATCATTGTTAAAAGTGTAGCCCACAGTTTGATCGACCAAACATTGATTTAACGGTGCCAAGATGTTTTCATTATGAAAAGATGACTTTTTCAAAAGAGCACACAAAAGCAATGAACATGAATCATGACGGAAACAATGAGTCCACACACCTATTCATACTGTTCACATTTCACCACTGTGCGTGAATTCTCTTTCGATTCTCTGTCACAGTCACCCATAATGAGGAAGCATTAGCATTTCAGTAGAACATTCAATCATGCCTGTGCTCAGAATGAGTTCCCTCCACAAATACAGATGTTAGACATTGTAAATTCCTGTTTATGAAGGGATGATTGAATATCTACCTGCCAGCTTGTAGACTGACATTTTTGTTATTGTTGTTTTCAATAGAATGTAATTTTTTCTGAGCAAGACAAATTTTAGCTCAGGTTTAAATTTCTGAAAGAACAAATACAATGCATATTTCCTTTTCTGATCCACGCAGTTAGGCAAAATTAAAATCTCATTTTAATTTCTGAGACTAAACTTGACTTTTTTAAAAAAACCTTACATGTGTTTGAATTGTTTTCTGAATTATAGAGTTTCCAGTGATTGTGCCTTTACCTCATTTATAACACAATTTCTATCTTTAAAAGCATGATAGAAGAAGCTAGAGAGTAAGAACTGGAAATGAAGCACTTACGTTTATAAAACACTGCTTTAAAAGGTATGTGGGGCAGAAGTTTATAGATCTTTTCCAACACGGTCGCTTCACCAACTAAAGAGGCATTTACATTCCAGACTTGAATGACATCTTCTCGGTCCCGAACACTGACACTAACTCCTATTACTTCATCATCTGAGGAGAAGATGGGGGGAAGGGGAGGAGAAAGAAATGAGTGGTAATTTCAAGTCCATCTAATTATTTTTAAACAATTAATCTGTACGTTATGGAGAAGATGGGAAAGACAGTGGTGAGAGCGCGTGTAATGAATGATTGTTTCTATGGGGAATATGGAGAAAAGCAAGTTGGTGTACCAAAGCTGTAGGAGTCACATCGTGTTTATGCAGGGACACAGACAAAATGTTCCAGCCAAATGCACTTTCCAGATAAGTAATCTTACCCTTTTTAACATGTTACCAAAGCTCTCTATTTCTTACCGTTTTGATGGAGACTTTTTCTAAAATGGGTTGCGTAATTCTCTGCCCTCTGAAAGCCGAGTGAACTCAGATGAACCATTCCTCGATGCTTTGCTGCCTTCTTTAAGAGCAGCAAGAATTTTTCTGACTCCCTGCCAAGCTTTTGGAGGCTTTGGGGACACATAGCGGTATTTGCCCCCAACACTCACCAGACCCAGACTGTGTGGTCCTATTTGCTCATCTGCTCTTTGTGGTTTTCTTGTCTGCTGTTTTCCTATTAATTCTTCCTGCCCTCTGTTCCCTTCTAGCAATCACCCTTCTGGTTGTATTAAACTGTAGGCTTAGAAAAACCAACAGCCAACTGTTAGCACATGTACAGAATAAAAACAAGTATCTTCTGAGCGAGGCTCTGCTATTACAGTCCTCCCATCAATGGACATTAAAGCATCTATCTACCCTGACCAATGTGGGCTTTTGCTTTTTAAACAAAATTGCAGACTTGGGGGCTGCCTTGTAGACATTTAAGAATGGTAGCTGGATGGTAAATAAGCCTGGTGTACTCTTACATGTTCCCTTGCAGACACTTTGCTTATGATAATTGGCAAGCAGATGACAAGAGTACAGACTTCCGACTCCAGGTTTACATGCTCATGACACATTAACAAAATAGGGTCAGCCCTCTGTACTTGCATGCTCAGAATCAATATGTAATACACAAAAGAGAAGCATTACCAAAATTAGGAACTTTTGCTTTAGCTGCTATGCTTTGCCTACTTTGCCAGTCTCTGAAAATCTAAATATACATGGCCATTGGTTTTTCCAACTGTCTTCTGGAGGTTTAAACATTTTGGTATTTGAGTATAATTTAAACAATGCCACACTCCACTTATTCAAATCATCTTCAGTAAAATAATTCCTTTTTCTTCTCCATTCCCCCCTTCTTTGCCTCCCTTCTTCCCTCCCTTTCTTCTTTCCTTCTCAAATGAATTTGATCCTTTCTAGATGTGTATGACTCAACAACAAATGACTCCATTTATGTAAGTGTTCAAAAACATTTAGTGGTGTTAGAAGTTGGTTTAGCGGTCCCTTTGAAGGAAAATGAAGGGAGATTTGGGGGGTCAGTAAGGTCCTGTGCCTTGATTTATATGCTAGTTATAGGGAAATGCTTACTTTTTAAATAGTTATTAAGTTCTACACAGACAATATGTGGACTTTTAGATACATACATCACATTCAGACAAAAAGTTCCCAAAACAAAACAGAAACAAACAAACCCAAAAACTGCATCTGATCATGGCCAAGCTCAGAAAATCTTTCCATCAAGAAAAGATGCCTTATAAAACAGGTCTTGTCTGGGAGGGTTGGAATCACTGAAAGGGGGAAAGGATACAAGGAAAGGGTGAAGGAGGGTGAATATGGTAGAAATATTACGTACTCATGCATATGTAAATAGAAAAATGAGACCTGCTGAAACTATCCCAGGAATGGGAGGCTGGGTAGGGGGGGATAAAGGAGAATGATGGAGAGTGTGACTTCAACTATGATATATTGTAAAAACTTTTGTAAATGTCACATTGTACACCCAATACAACAACAATTAAAAAAATTTAAAAAAGAAAAGCTGCCTTAGGTATAGGTCACTTAATTTTTAATTTATACTTTAAAAATATACTTGTGAAAACTCAATGATCAATTCTATGTAAAAAAAAATAAAACCACGTAAAGAGGGAGGCTTTGCAGTTTCCCACTCTCAGGAACGGCCTTGGTCATTGTCTCAGCCTTTTGGAAAACATGACTGGTCAACCAACCAGTGAGGTAACTGAAGGATGCTATTTCAGCTTGGCTTGGCTTCTGGTGACTAGGCACAGCTAAGAGTGTAGTCCTTTCAAAAAACAGTGTGGTAAGAAGGCCACAACTATTGTGCAAAGGCAGGGCCATTAGATAACAAGTAATATCCATAAGTAGACTCAACCAGCAAAACTTGGATTATTTTAAGGTACTGGCAGCATAAGTCAGCTGGGCCAGGAGGAGTCACTGTTTCAAAGTGATAGGTGCAAGGCCTGGAAAGATTAGTTGACTTGCTTCAAGTGGCAGAGCTAGTTAATGCAAAAGCCCATGGTTAAATGTTAAAGGCACTCTCATTTCTAAGTCAGCCACAGAACAATTGGTCTTCTTTACTCAACACTGTGTATTTATTAATAATTACACTATTTTCTCTGGTTCTGGAAACAGAAATTATTCATACAGAAAACTCCTCTCCCAGGATTTACATCTTTATAGCTATGCATAGGATGCATTTGTGGCTGTATATTATAAAGATGCTAATTATTCCCTGCTAGAAGAAAAAGCATCTACACTTTTAAGACAATTTTACCTTAACCCAGGCTTTGTGAATAAAATGTGGTATACAAAGGAAGCAAAACAAAAGTGAAATTACTGAGATGAACTTGAAACTTTTCATAGGATTGGTACAGCTGAAGGATGGGGGGAACTTAGAAACAGCCGCATCTAAGAAGTCTGAGGGCCAGCTAGAAGACCATCATACCAGTTAGGAAAAAATAATAACAAAATGGCAAATAAAAAAAAAAGACCTCAACTAAAAATGGAATAGAAAAAAATGTTAGTCTAAATGTGCCCTCAGAAGCATGCAGAAGGAGCTACTCAAGAAGAAACCAAAACTTGAACCGAACAGTTACGTTCTCCTCTGAGTGGTTTCACACAAACATAAAAGCAAAACAAAAAGCGTTCGTAGCAGCTCTCAGAAATCCACCAAGTATCTGAAAATGGTCTCCAAAGGAAAGTCCTGAAGATCCTGTTTCATCCTCAGCTATGTGACCACACAGAAGGGCATTTCTGCCTGCCTGTGAGCTCTGAGCCATGCCATGAGGTGAAGAGAAGGAAGGGGAAGGAATTGAAGGGACAGAAGGAATGACTCCACTAGACATGAGAGAGAAAGGCACAGCAGGTATTTTTCCTTCCAGAAGAGAGGCAACAGATAAAGGAAACCTACTACAAATTATGTTAAGAGACCAACTGATGCTACATTTCTCTTTCCTTTCTGCCTATTTACATTGGACAGATGGTGTGGACACTACTAAGTTATGCTGTAAGGGAGAAAGTATGTAGGCATATATATATATACACCTGTGTATATAAATATATGGTCATCCCCTGATGTGTGCAGGGGATTAGTTCTAGCTCCCCTCTCCATATCAAAATCCACGGATGCACAGTCCTTATATAAAACAGTGCAGTATTTACGTATAACCTCTCTTCTACTCTAAATCACCTCTAGATCACTTATAATACTTGCTACAATGAAAATGTTCTCCAAACAGTTGTTACACTGTTGGGAATATGGACAAGGAGAAAATGTGCATGGTAAGACAAAACAAATTTTTTACAGTATCTTTGGTCTGTGATCGGTTGAAACCACACACACATATGCACATGCATCTAACACCAAATCGCATGGAAAAAAATTAAAATAACTTCATAGTTACAAAATGTACATCTTCCAAACATGCAGAAAACTGAACACATAATAACAAACTTCTACAAAGAATAGAGTGAGAAGCACCGGGAGGCATGGACACCCAGAACTGTGGGCTTCTTTACCTGCTGCTGCGCAGTCTGTGAACTGCTCCCCGATGGTGGCTAATAGCAACTCTTTCCAAACTGTGGGCTGATGGGAGACAAGAACCAAAATCAAAACCCAAACAAACACATGTATATTTTTACATAATCATCTTCAGGAACTGAAGAAGTTGTCCAACTTCACATTTGAAGCCTGTAGACATCTACCATAGGTGTAAGCACTTGTAATGCTGGCATTATAGTACTGGTTCACAAACAACTTTACCCAGATAGACACAAGTGGTCCAGAGTCTAATGTAGGCTAATCACTAGTGAAAGTCCTGACGAAGGTCAAAAAGATGGGGGAACATACATTCAAGTGGCTTAATTTTCTGGTTTCTTTACCTCTTACTGATTCAGAATGCATGGACTGATTATGTGTAAGTGGTGTAGTAATATCCTTTTCTTTGTGTTTCCTGCAGCTGGTAAGATACTTAAAAGGTTACCCAAATAAAGAATGCTTAAGGAAATTTCTTGTTTGTCGAATACTAGAGCTTTGTAAGATTCCGTTCACTGCAGACAGGCTGTTTATGCAAAGTGGTAGATTTATGTATGGCCATGTGCAATTTCCCTGGAAGGGTTAGTCCATACTCAGGTCCACCTCCTGTCAGTAAGAAGCCCGGAAGCCCCTTCTTCAGGACATTTGCCAACGTCATCCAATAAACAGCCAGAACTGGTTCCTATGTTACTAGAGGCCTAACAGTTCTCCCAGTTCTTCCCCTTGAAAAGTTCTTGATCCTATTTAATCTCCTTGCAACAGTTCACAGGCTCTGTCTGAAGTCTCCCAGAACTGGGTCTGAATTCTAAGAGTCTGTTTACTGTTTGTGACCTGTGCAGGCTATCAGCCTTTCTGAGCATCAGGCTCCTGAAGTGACCAAGGGAATATCAGGACTGACTTCACAGGGTTGTTGTGAGTATGAAATCAGTCGGTGAATGCATTCAAAGGGTTCAGCACAGAGATTGCAACAAAAGGACTCCATGTAAGATCATCCCATAAATAGCTGCATGTGTGCCATATTCCAGGCATTCAGTACACATTAACTGTAACAACAGTGTTTGTTATTGCATTCTAAGGAGCTTACAGCAGCTGTGTTGATCTTTTAGCCAAGGCAATGGCAGCTAACTGGGGAGCTGGAAGGTGAACCCTTGTCCTCTTTGCTAGGCTCTCCCTTCTTATCTTCTAGTCCCCCACCTAGGAATCATCACTGTCATTTTCTATCTGTCCAACTTTGTCTTGTCCTCAGTTAGTGAGGAAGCAGATGGTGGGAGAGGCTCTCAGGAGAAGGGAGACTTCAAACCTCTACTCTGAATGAGGCAGGGTTGCCCACCAGCTGAACTGCCTGGGACAAGGGCATTTGCCCAGACGTGAAGACCTATTTGTGACTAAATGTGGTCAACTGAGCTAGCAAGGCAGGAGCAGACAAAACTGCCTCCAGTCACTTTCCAATGAATGCTAGCTTCTATTAGAATAAGAAGTCTAGTAAAAGTAAATAAAGCATATAAACACTTAGGGCCTGATACCTGGCACTATAAAAACAAACAAATAAAATAAAGCACATGGAAAAAAAAAAAAAAACCAAAGGCATTCTTGGTGAAATTTAAGAAGGAAACCATAACTGCAATCTCAGTTACTAGGGATGCAGAGGCAAGGAGGAGCACCAGTTTGAGGATAGCCCAGGCAAGGTTAGTGAGATCCTATCTCAAAAATAAAATACAGGACTGGGGGTGAGGGTCAAGTGGTGGAGTGATTGCCTAGTATGTACGGAGCCTGAGTTTATTCCCCAGTAATGAAAAAAAAGGCGGGTGAGGGGAAGGGGAAGAGGAAGAGATGACAACCTAACATTCTGTCATTCTCCTATTCTCTGTGCTTTCTCTCTTTCTTAGATGGGTAGAGGAGTTTTCACATAGAAACTTGCCTGGTTTGCTATTTGCTCCTCTGATACATATTTTTTTAATCATGTATGAAAGTAACAATCAGATCTTAGAGCTATACACCTTGAGAAGCAGTTTGTAGCTCTGACAAATCAAGCTGGTCATATCTTTAGGTATGTGCTTGCTTGCAGGGAAATGACTCTAGTCCACCTGTATGGGTTCCTGCAGACATTTTATTTCATTCTCTGAGCATATTTGCATAAAAACCATAAAAAAGGTGAGACTGAGTAACATTTGCCCTTTTGTCCATTTTCAAAGAAGATTTGCAGTTTCTCAGGACTTAAGATAGCCAATATTAACATTCATGTTCATTTCCAGTCACTGTGATGAATTAGATGTGGGCTTCTGAGGCTTGGCCAGCCTCTTGTGAAACCCCAAAGACTGGTGAGCCACTAAGCCTCCCCATTCTCCATGTCATGGCCCTTCCTAAAAGTGCTTCTGCCTACCAGTAGGGAGGGAGGGGTCTTTGGTGGGAAGGACCCTGCTTCCCTCTATGGAAAACCAACTTTCAGCTGTGTTAGCTACAGCTGGTGAGGAAAAGACAATCATAAAGACCCTTAGCTTTTCTGTAAGGTGTGTAAGATTTAGCCCTACAGGATTTAGTCTATAGGGCTAAATCCTATAGATACCGTATCTATAGAGATGCACAATAATACATTTTCAAGGGGACAATGAAGGCAGGAAATCACCAAGGTCATAAATGAATTTCTCACTCCAGGCCTGTTGGGAGACTTTTAGGGAAGCTATCTGAAAAGCACAAAATGCTCACTGTGGGCAATCCACAACCCCAGGCTCAGCAGTTCTGGGAAATGGTCAGAGAAACTTACTGTGCTGTCCTTGGGAACTTTCATCTTCCACACACCACCCTTTGCATTACTCTCCTCTTCCCTGAATCAAAGACCAACGTTTAAAGTTATACTCATGACTAAGTAGTTCTTCGTACATTTAGATTAAGTGTTTCTACATACATTCAGTTTAACAATAGATGACCTTAAAAATAAAAACAGTCAGGAATTTTTCAATTAACTCTCCCCTGACCCTTTGATTGGAAACAGAAGCAGAAGACAGGAAAAAGGAATGGGCTGGAGATGGGGCAGGAAGAAAGTGGAATTCAACTGTAATAAGGGTAGGGGTGTGGGGACACCTGAGGTCCTTATTCTTAAGGAGGTGGTGCCCAGAGGCTCCCAGGATTCCCTGGGGATAAACAATCAATGCAACGACTTCCCAGGTATGAAGACCTTTCCATATGTTTCAAAGCATGTTCCTGACACTGCCTCATTAGATTCTCATTTCACTGGGGCCACAGGACTAACAGGTGACTCTGGGGTGGACATCTACTATGATTCCCTGCTTGACAGTTGCTTCCTGTCTACTAAGAGCACCCTGATTTCCCTTTCAGGAGCCACCTGACCCCTAGTCTTAAGTCAGACCCACTTAGACAGGAGTGGTTTCAGATCTAGCATTAAAGATGGGCTTATGGCCCAGCTTTGCATATGAGAATACTGCCTCTTTCTAGTCTTATTGATTGCCAGGGATGGAAAGGTGATCCACAGTGCACCAGTAACAGACAGCCCAAAAATTTTACTGGGACTGGAAGAGGCTGATGATACCGGTAAGCTTGCAGGGTATAAGAATGGCACTTATGAAGACCATTTTCCCGCAAATGGGAAAGCCAACCTGAAAATTCAGCCACTACAGAGGAAAGCAAAGGAAATCTGAGGGACAGCACAGAATCCCGATCACATATGGGAACCTCTCAGTTTCAGGTTCCAAGAAAATTCAGGGTGTTTTTTTGTTTGTTTGTTTCCCTCAATTTAGATTCCTGTCACTTGCTATTACTTGAGCTGAAATACACTTTCATTTTATTAGTGAGTAAATAACTCCAAAAGGATAAAGGTTGTGATATAAAAGTTTATTGATAATTGAGATTGCTGCCCAGGGAAACTAACTTAATGTGTAACATCTTCATCACTACACCAAGCTACTAAGAAAGGAGGGCGCCCTTCTTTAGACTCTGGCCATGTTCGGTAAGGCAGGCTTCCTGTGGGTCCACATGAGAGACAAGCCCCTGGTGAAAAGATCTCTCATGAGGTTCACAGCCATTTCCCTCTCACCTTGACCTCAAATTACATACCAGACACTTACCAAAGTGGTCGCCTCTCTCCTCTCATTAAATGATAACTACATCTCAAAGGCAGGCTGGTCACAGGAGGGATATTATTGTACACACTCCAGAAGATCTTTAAGAGAGAAACATGTTGTTTAATGCACCCAGTATTGATCGACTATGCCAGTAGATTATAAAATTAATGCATTAAAGAAAACATTGATTCTCCCTAAGTCCTACATTTAAAAATACTTGCTTGCTGATGCTGGGCTAAGTTTCTCAGGAAGTGATCATTATAAAGTGAGCATTCCTATGCAGCATGTGTACACATAAACCCAGAAAACAATATACAACACCAGGATTAAAGTAATAAAACTGTATTGTGTTAGGGGCTTTTGCAGATTTTAGCTGCTCTTGTCACAAAAAAGTAACTGTGAATAATAGGTATTTTAATCTATTTCACTATGGTAACTACTTTATTATCTATATATATCCTATAGTATCATGTTGTAAACCTAAAATACATACATTTTTAAAACAAGAAATCCTCCATAGACACAGAAAAAGTATGCATTTTTCTTAGTATGACAATGTTTAATAAAGTATATCTAGTTAACCTTAAATTGTATGAAGATTAGATCCTTTGTATTTTTGAAGATTTGATTAGAAAAATCAGAAAGGAACAAGTTTTACATTATATATTTTGATATACTTTTGTAACATAGAAAGATCCTCAATAGTTATAACTTCATTGTCAATGGTATTTTGTTATAAAAATAAATTGATTGACTTCATCCTAAACCAAACACCCCACCCTACCTCAGTGCACCCATGGAAAAGATCATGAACGAATGGAAGCGATCTTGCTAGTGGTTTTTCTGACAGGTAGGTGGCACCTAATATACTGAGCCTTTAGTATAAGAGAGATGTTCTGAACCATGCTTCCTTATAACACTGCAGGGAAAGAGTCCATTGATGCTTTGGGGCTGAGGGCATAAAGAAAGCAAAGAGGAACAATCTTAGGCTCTATTCTCCTTCTCTTATTTTCCTAGAGGAGTGAAGAATAGCTCAGCTGCTAAAGCAAGATGCAGGATATGTGAGTTTCATGTCTGCATCCTGGCAAATTTCACTATTAAAACCCTAATCCCCATTGGGTTGGTACTAGGTGTAGGAGCCTTTGGAGGTGATTAGGTCTCCAGGGTGGTGCTCCCACGGTGGGATGAACATCCTTACGAGAGGGAGAGAGCTAGCTCTCTCCTTCATGGGAAGATTCCAGCAGCAGCTGTCAGTGTGTAAACCAGGAAGAGGGCCTCACCAGAGCCTGATGAGACTGGCACCCTCATCTTGGACAACCAGCCTCCAGAACTGTGAGAAACAGTTTGTTGATTAAGCCACCCAATCTATGGTATTCTATGACAGTCGCCTGAACTGGCTGAGAAGCAGAGTTACTGTAAACAGAAACAAATTCTGTCAAAGTAACAGAGCAATAATGAAATAGTAACAGTAACAGCAAGCACAAGTGATATTCACAGAGCTGTTCTGTGTCCCAGGCCTTGGGCCATGAAATTTTATATGTTTATGTAATTTATTCTAGTGGCAACATAAGGAATATTATCATCCTTATTTTGTAGATAAGGGAACTGAGGCACAGAGACTAGTTTGCCCAAGCACTTCCATTTAGTGTGACCATTAGGATTGGGAAACAGACTGAGGCTGTGAAGGACATGCTCCCCAGTCTGTCTGTAATGGGTCACAGAATGCTACACTATTAATTCTATGCACATAATTATACACAAATGAAAATCACCATTCTGCATGATGAGGTGGGACTCCTAGGAGATCTGATAAAACAGTATAAGCAACAAAGCTATTAGAAAAATGAATGGATCAAGAGAGGAGTGGAATTGCATCTTTATCCTATGACAATCCCAATGGGTTGTTCAAGTCTGTTTTGTGTAAAAATAAAATAAAGCTAAATTAATTACAAAAGCAGAAACAATGAACTATAAGAAAACTGAAGGCAATAAAAAGTACATGGTGGTAGATTTCTTGAAGGAGAATCTACTTTACACCTTTGTGCTACAATGGTGCTAATGCAGAGAATAGCTGAAAGTGGCTTTGTAAGAACAGCACATCCTCAAACAGCTACTTGTCCTTAGGGAGGTACCTAACATACAACTGCTTGGCAAATCATGTCGCTCCAATATTTCAGTTTTTATCTGCGGTGTTAGTATGAATAACTAGAGCTGTAGTTGAACCCAGGCACCATAATTTTAAAACCCCTATTTATTTTTACCACTACCTATTTTCTTTGATGATCCTACTACCTGTTTTCAGTGTATCTTTCATAATCTTGGAAGTAAAGGATAGGTCATGGAGTCACAGAAAGAGGGACACCTGTTGATAGTATTTCCCTATCAGTCAGATGTTCTTAACTCCATTGAGTCTGGTAACCATCTTGAGTGCAGCCTGAGACCTGTGCTATGAGGTGGCAGTGACCTTCTGCAGAATTTATGGACAAAACAACTCTTAAATGTAAACCTTTGTCTAAGGGAAAACCAAGAGACCTTTGGTGTTTGTTGAAAAGCATCCCATACCAAAGCTTCTGTCCTCATCCCTGCCAAGGTTCTTGAGCCCTGACTTTTACCTAGCATTTGCAGTACCTTGAGAAAGATACAAGAAAATACTTCTCTAGTTCCAAAGCCCAGAAAAAACTCTGATCTTGCAAAGGGTTAGTTATAGCCTTGGAAACTTGAAAAAAACACAGACAATTGATTTTGTTTATCTTAGCAAATCTGACAGGAAGAGATTATAGCCCAACAAGAGACGATGAGAAACTGAACTCTGACCTAATCTATTTATTAAAGCACAAATTTGCATATTTGTGAACAAAGAAAAAATGTGAGCAAAACATTCAGTGATACCCACGTGAAGGACACTAAAAGCTACGAGACGCTGACTCCGTTCCCTTGTTGCAAACCTCACCTAATACTAGAGAATGTGTTAGGTGTGTATGATGGTGGAGGAGCTGAAAGGAAAAAACTTGCATTCTCAGCTACTGGAATACTCTTCTCTTCCCCTATAGCAGTAAAAGGGCTGCCATAGTCAAGCTTGAGATTCATGATTACACTCTCTGTAACACTTTTTAAAACTGAAACGCCTAAATTTTACTAAAGATGCAGCCTTGCAAATAGATTTCAAAAGTCATTAGGCTTATAATCAACTCTATTTGGGCTACAATAGAAGACTACACTAAAAGTGAAACCAGGAATGGTGTTCATGAGTGGCAGTTAAGTGCTTTCCTCAAAAGCCAAGTAACTACCCAAGGACTAGGAGAGGTATCAAAGTTAGGCATTGTTTATTCAGGCAACATATGTGGATGTCAGCTGTGAGCAGAGCACTGGGCCAAGTCCTCAGGGGAACTGAGCTGAAGTGAGGCACGGCCAGTGACCACGAGGACTATTCACTGGTGGGTAAGTTCTCAGCATCATTCTGGCTCCTCTCCATAAGACACAGAGACATAACCTTCTTATTCAATGGAGTCTAACATATGGACTTAAGGCCTCGGTTCTCAGGACAACCTTCACAGAACACACAGTTCTTGGATCCCATGTTGTCCCCTGTGTATAGGGAGTAGGACACAGTTACCTCATCGAATAACTTCATGACTAAATGCACTGAAAACATTTGGGCGGCCTGGGTAAGGAAGCAAAGTCTGGTCAGACTTAGTAAATATGGTGACCACTTGACACACCTCCAATCTTACTCATTCCAAATGGAGCAATTATGTCCCACCTGATAGACTTCTGCCAAACAGATATTCATTACCAGGAAAATTGGCTAATTTCCTCCTCAATTTGTGACTAGAACCTTTTGAAGGAAAAGGTATCATATACTTGAAAATTCTTGAAAAGAAAAGAGGCCATGTGCTGACAGAAGACAAAGTGGCATGTTTGTTTTGTAAAACAAAACCCAAACAAAACCACCCAGCAAATGCACCTCAAAAAAAAAAAAAAAATCCAGGTTTCCTGCCAAAGACTGTAGCATGTGTGTAGAGGAAAGTGTTTTTGAAATACTAACGGGATACTTTGCTCATTAGGTATTTCTAGTTGCCAGGGGCTTTCCACCAACAGAATCAATGGTATTTGTGGGGAGCAGATAGAGATCAGAACAGGCTGAAGAGCATAATGGATGTTTTTAACTCATAGCAGACACAAAGGCTGAAAGCAAAGTGCTTCTGATTTGCAAGAGCTCCATACTCCAGAGAGATGGGCTTTGCTTTGAATTCCAAAACATCTTGGCCTACTCTGAGTTGGGGAGTTAATAACTGGAGAGGACAGTGGGATCTAAACCTTGAGAGGGTGGAGGAGAGCTTCCCCCCACCAAGATGTGTGGGGAAACCCAGAGCAGAGTAGTATGTACCTGCTTCCTGGGTCTAATCCACCAAGCTGTGACACCCATAGAAGGCTGTGGTCCTGAGGTATGAGCAAAACGTGGCAGGTCAGAGAACAGCTAGGAGAAGTGGGTTATCTTTGCTGCAGGGGCCTGCCACAGCCTGCAAAACTCCTCTTGTTTTGTTGGGGTGGAGCAAAGGCAACTAATGTTTCCTAAATCTCCACCCTGGGGCATGAAATTGCTAGAAAAGTCTATGGACAGGGGAGGGGAGCCTGGGCCTGGATATGGAGTACACTGTACAGTGCACTGACAGATCTTTGAAGGAGACTGGCTTCAGATCTGTTTTGCTCTCTCTTTTTCAGTGTTGGTGTCTTTCTGTCTCTTTTTCCTCAACTCCCTTTCCTTCACCCAAGTGGTTCACTCCAGGTCCTTCTATTATAGCATGCTAGCAACTACAGGCCTCCCTGCTGTGTCCAGCACTTTGAACCAATCTCTCCATCATCCCCCATTATCAACACTGACCTAGAAAACCTCTCTTTTGGAAGAAATGATCCTCATTCCTCAAGGGTTTAGAAAACAATCTGCTGCCCTAACTTAATGACCTACAATAGCACACTCAACAATCAGGTGGCCTGACCTTCAAGTAGGAGAAGAGAGCTTGATGTTATCAGCACTACACAGCATGATTGCATTCTGTTAATTTTAATAGAATATATACATATATGTACTATATATTATATATATAGTCTATGAAGACTTTTCTGTTATGAGAGATGATGCTGAAGTTCCATTTATAGAAGAAATACAAAGTTTCTGTTCCATGTAAATCTAAGTAAAAAGTCAATTTATGGGAACTAAAGGATAGAACATAATACAAGCCACAAATTACTAAGGTCTGGGAAGGAATGTGGTATAGGAATGCATTTTTAGGGGTGGAATTTTTAGTCTAGTGGGAACAAAGGAGCCCTCCTTTGCACATCAAAGCTGGTGACTGGCTCTTCATTCTCCCACAGGTAAAAAGTGGCCAATGTTCAGAAGCCATGTTCTATTCTACAGTGCCCAATGAGCGTGCAAAGACACAAGGGAAATGGGCAAAATTCTTACATGTCCAAAAGAGTAAAAGGAATCAATAATGTCTGGAAAGCACACCTAAATAAAAAATGGAATTTTCCAAGAAAGATGAGAACGTAGCAGACAAATTTAACTCCAAGCAGAGAGAATTATTGTTGGGTGCAATGACAAGTGTCCTCAGCAGGGGTCACTGGGTCCTCTGGGGGCCTTGCCTCATCCACTTCTCAGATGGGGAATAAAAAAGAGAGAAATGAACTAGAAGCAGAGGAAGTTCCAGCCCCAGAGACACAGCAAGACTGACTGTTTCCACGCAGATTTGGGTCACTTCCTCTCAGCTTCAGTCTCCCCAGCTAGTAAACAGGGATAACAATTCTCTACTCCCCAACCCCACCAAGTTGGATTTGTAGAAGAACCTCAGAATATAAAAAGATATATTATGCCTGATATAAAGTAATCATTAATAACACGATTCTTATACTTTATCCAAGCACATATGGGAGGAAATATAAACATGACCAGGGAGACAATTTTTTAGGGGTAGTACAATGAGAGTTAAAGAGTCAGCATTCCATCACAAGATAAAGACAGTAGGACAAAAGTGTACCCTTAGGGAATGAACTTGTTCAAAGTACACTGTATGTGTATGTCAATGGAATTGTCACAATGAAACCCCCTTCTACTATTAATGTATGCTAATAAAAATTTAATTTTTTAAAAGGATGTCCCTGAATGACTTTCAAGTCAGCATACTGGCTAGTTCTTAAACACTAAGGACTAGCCTGAGATGTTAAAGGCTCTAACAGGCTGAACTTCCAAAAGTTATGGATAAGTTAAATATGTTTTCATAAGGAGAGGTGTCAGGCACTGGTGGAGTGGCTCAAGTGGTAAGAGTGCCTGCCCAGTAAGCATGAAGCCTGGAGTTCAAAAAAGGAGAGATGTTATCAGTGGTGTAATGCAGAGTATCACTGCCTGAAGTAAATAGTGTAGAAGCAGTGATATATATTTTTCCTACATAAAGCATGACTGAGGAAAGAATGAAAGAAACCATGCCCAAACAAAAGGAGACCAATGATGGTATACGAACCTACCTTTATTACTAGGAACTTACTACGTGTTTTTAGTTCATTGTACCATTTCATTCTCACCATCGCATGGTAAAATGTCTATCATGGCTGTTCCCATTTTGTAGATGACTAAGCTGATTTACAGAGAGGTTAAGTAACCTTTCCAAGCTACTAGGAACCAGCTATGGGATACAAACCTAGGCAGTGAGGCTATCCTATAGCCAAACCCACATCCTAGTCAGTCAATTATGGAAGCAAAGGGGCAGAATCCATAACACATTAGGTAGATCTAGCAACAGGTAAGGGTTTACTAAGTGCCAAACCCTACCAAGAACTATACACGATCTCATTTAACCCTCACTCAACCTAGGGAGTAGGTACTGTTTATTATCTCAATTTTATGAATAGGAAGCTGAAGTGAACAGAGACAGCAGATAGAGGGAGGAACATCCTGACCACATTAGAACAGTGTTTCTGCAGCTGGAGGAGAGCCTGACAGGAAGGAGTATGAAAAAACTCTCTAGTGTGAAGGGCATTTTTTCTCTTGATTTATGTGATGGGTACATGTAAGCATACCTTTGTCAAAATTTACACTTGTGAAGCCTGTATTTACTGCACACATTCCAATAAAGTATAGTTTATTAAAAAGTATTTTCTAGTATGTACAAGCCCAGGACCTTTAAGTTGGTCTGTAAAGGTCCTAACCTGATACTGAAACCAAACTCCAGCCAAATGGTCTGTGTTGCCAGGTAGGGTCAGGAAAACGAAGCCAATCCCTCATCTGACTTTATGTCTGCCCTGGAATCCCTTGCTCTGTTCTGAAGATCCAAGGTCATACCAGGGTGGAGAAACTCTAGTGAGTGCCTTCAGAGAACAACAGGATCTAAGAGATTCCTTGTGAGGACAGCCCTGAAAATCAAGAGCTCTGAGGTTTCTAAAATGGCTACAGGAAGATGTAACAAAGCTCACAAATTCAGCAAAGAGACGAAGTAAAGGGAGTCATTCCCTGACTGCGAGGGCATTGATTTCCCTGGACAGCAGCCCACGTGCTGTCTGGTGACACTGCCCATACTTGGCACTGTTATTTTGCTTTCCACATGCTTGTGTCACTTTGCCAAGTAGATGAGAAATGGCCTATTGGTGGGACCTCCTCTTTACACCAGGTCACTGCCTGCCTTCAGTGGCCATGCATGATACCTTAAACTAGGTTCCTAGGGCTGCATAACTATAAATATGCAATTTTCACACCAGTCTCTGAACAAAAGATCTTTGTGCTACTTCTCTGCATAGAAGAGGCTGCCTAAGGAACATAATGTAGACACCAATGTGTTGGAATTTCTAAGATGCTACAAGATTTAGGGGTGCAACAGAAAAACTATAATCCATGCCTGCTAGAAAATGTGGTCAGTGCAACTCTGAAGCAGACACCAAGCCTTATTTAACTGCAGCAGCAAGGACACTAGGAGAGAGGTTTAGTAGGATTTGCTTGTGAAGAAACTAGGAATGCAACCAACTAGATAAATCAGTTTTTTAAAAATGTTTGCCCTCAGAGTTGGATAAAGGAAGAACTAATAGAACTAAGAACTTACACTTGTTAGAACCTGGTATGAATCAGGTACTCAGGTGCTATCCACATATGGTGTAAACATGACTGAATTTAATCCTCACAGCTCCCCATGGAGGAAGGTGCAATTATTATATCAACTGTATAGAAATTCAAAGGGTCGATTCATCCTAATTAGAGTAGTGGAGGTGGAAAGGGTAGCACTTTCAGGTTCAATACTGCCTTGTTCTCCCTATACCATCAGTGATCAGTGATCTGCAGGATGGGTGTCCCTGCCTCACAGAGCGGGTGGTAGAGATGGAGTTTCAACAGGGACACAGATGTCTTCAAAATCTTCCCTCTTAGTACACCACAGTCTGTCTCTCCTCCCTCCCCATAGTTCTAGGAATGACCTAGGTGATAACATCTTAGCAAAGGTCAAGAGAAAAGCAGGTCACCTGAGCATATGCCCGGGCAGCTTCTGGGCTGGACTAGATCAAGCACAACTGAACCAAACTGGACCCAATTACCAACCCCAGGGCAGAGTCCAGGGCAGGGATGCAGCACAGTGGCAGTTCTCAACTGGGATGATGAAGAATTCAACTCACACCACATGCATGAACCCAGCACGGCCCTTTCCATGTCTTACCTGCACTGTCTGCACTGTGTAGATTTTCTTCAGGTTTGAGGCGCACTCAGCTGCCGTGGCACCGGGGAGTGATCTAAGCACACATCAGCAAGAGAGCAAGGATGCAAACAAAACCAGTCAGTGCTTACGAAATATTCCACAACACAGCTCTGCAGATCTCCCTAAAAATCAAGTTTAAATTCACAGAACAGTACATTTTGGGGATGCTAGTTAGATTCAAAATATAAAATTTCATCTTTGAGAAGTCATGTGTTTGCTTCTAATAATCAGCACATTTATTCTATGGAAAGTTAGTAGAGAAAAAGGTAAGGTATGTAAGAAAGATATTGGAAACTTTAAAACCATGTCTTGGTGTAAAGATCAGTTGGAGATGAATCAACATGGGTCGTAACACATGTACACGAAAGCAATGCTAGGAATATTTCTGTATAGCTATCCTCAACTCAACTAGCAAAAACACTTTGTCTTCCTTATTAGGCTTGTCTCTTTTCTTCAACAAAATTAGTGATAAAGGCAGAACAGGACCTGCCTGGAACTGAAGGGAGAAGGGGGAGGGGGGCAGGGGGAAGAAATGACCCAAATAATGTATGCACAGGTGAATAAATGAATAATAAAAAAAGATATGACAAACAACTTACTGTCCTAAAAAAATAAATAAAACCATGCCTTGGAAATGATACAAACAATGTATGCACATGTGAATTAAATGAATAATATTAATTTTAAAAAACCCCATGCCTTAAAGAACCAAAATAACCTAGAAAGCATTCTGCCTATGACTTGAGTGAGACAGTGCCTTTTGGAGTAAGGTAAATTTCAGACAGAAATAGAGGGGATGAAACAATTCAGGTTGTAATACATATATACATGGAAATGTTGCAGTGAAACTCCCTGTGTAGCCACCTTAAACAAACAAAAATGTCTGTTTTCAAAAACAGAGGTCAGGAAAGCAAAACAGGTCTTGTCTGGGGGGCTGGTACCAGTGGGAGGGGGGAGGATATAAGGAAAGGGTGTAGGAGGGTGAATATGGTGAAAATATTATGTACTCATGTATGAAAATGGAAAAATGAGACCTGTTGAAACTATTCCAGGAACTGGGGGTGGAGGGCGGATAAAAGAATGATGGAGGGGGTGAATTCAACTATGATATATTGTAAGAACTTTTATAAATGTCACAATGTAACCCTCGGTGTGACAACAATATGATAATAAAAAATAAAAAAGAAAGTGCCTTTTGTAGTAATGACAATAAAAACACAATGCTGTACCCTGGTGATAGATTTGAAATCCTGTCACTACCTTGGTGGGGACACCCATGCACTCCTGAGAAATAAAATGACCACCTTCCCACTGTAAGAAAGCATTACTAAAAGTCATCTTTGGTTTCACTTTCATGTGTTTCTCAAATTCTTGCCTCTGGAGAATAGTTCCTGTTACTTTCTCTGGCTGATTCAGTTAACTCTGCGGAACTACATAGTCAGAATGTGTTCATCTTAGTGTGCTATTTGGTCCACTAGATGGCAGCACAGTACAGGTTTATCTTCAGAAACCCCATGCCATTGAATTGGCTCTACCAAGCACCGTTTCCTAGGAGTGGGGGGGAGGGGGGCGGTGAGATGATCTGGTGCCATCCACCCTTAGATGGATCTTTATCTTTATCTTTTTCTTTCTATTTGTTTTCTTGGCAGTACTGGGGTTGGAACTCAGGGCCTCACAGTTACTAGGCAGATGCATTACCTCTTGAGCCACTCCAGCAGCTCACACACTTTAGTTTCTTAATGGGGCTTTAAGGTGGACTCTTGGTGTATATTCTTTCACCAGAGCCAGCATTTTTGCTGAACCCCATCTCTAATACAAGATTGTGTCCCTATCATTTTCTCAAAGGAAACAGCATCAAAATAACCTCCACACTGAAGGGGATGGGAAGGTTGTCTCAAAAATTCTCAACACAGGTCCATCTCAATAACCTGACATTTTACAATACTGATGTATTGAGGCTTGAAAAGAAGCATGTCAGGTTCCACAGAAACTCAGTTTCCTAATTTCTTCTTTGAGGAGGTTGGACTCCCTGATCTCAAAGGTTCCTTCCAACAGCTGGGCAGCTTTATAAATATCCAAGTTACAAAGTAACCGAGTGATGTTGTCAGGTCTGTACTGGCTTGGCTGGCCAATGGAGGCATTGGTGTTCTGTGCACCAAATCTCACCCTGTCACTGAAAAACACCCGAGCACTTAAGCTTCATGCCTGAACTTGAGTTTAACAGTCAAAATTGGGCTATAGCCACAAAATCCATTTCAAAACAGCAAACAAGCCAAGGTTTTTAAGGGATGCGCCCTGTAAACAGGACAGTCTGTACTGGACTTGAGATTCAAAGCTGAACCAGAAGCCAATCATCTACTGTTACTGCTTCTTAAAGTGGCAGGACAGACTGTCCACAGCAAGGCTGCCGCCTTGTGGCCAGCAGTCACACCTCCTTTCTCCATGACAGACAAAACTGTAGCAAACAGAAGGCAAAGGTTTGTGATAGATCTCACTGAAACATTCTTACTGATACCATATTTATAATTCATTCCCATGTCTTTAAAAAAAACTATTTCATTTGTATTACAAATCATCACCTCCTCACAAAACCCCAATCAAAACCCTTTGCTTGCAAACCAGGGGTGCTTATCTGAGGGTGACGAAGCCTCCACAGCGAGATTTGGAGATATCGGGATACATTTTTGGTGATTACCACTGAGGGAATGTACTAGCATCTAGTGGGCAGAAGCTAGGGATGCCAGTGAAATCCATCCCACAGCGCACAGGGACCTCTGCAACACAGAATCATCCAAAACGTCCATAGTGCCAAGGCTGTGAAACCCTACTGTAGACATGGAACAGTCTCAGAGGATTCAGTATTCAATTAAGCAACAAAGATTCATTGCACACCTCTTTTGCCTTCTGTGGCTACAGTAACGATCATTCTATACAAAGTTCTTGTCCCCTTGGCATTTATGTTCTAGAACTCTCACCCTGCTCTCAGAATTCTGTAGGGTCTCAAAGGCAAAGAAACAATGTTTAGACCTTTTTTAATTTGCCTGGGAGAGAGGAGGTGGGAAGAAAGCTGAGAGGACATACATGCTGACTATGACGGTTTCTAGAAGACAGTAGGGCCATAGCTGTGGGATAGCACAGAACCAAGGAATCGGGACCTACCTGTGTTTCCATTCTCCTTCCCACAGCAGACTGCTAGACCTCAGAACACAGCGATGGGAAATAAACGCTACCTGGATGGATCAGTTCAGGAATCTGAAATGTCCCACCAGGAGATTCTACTTTACAATGGCTTCCTTTTATTAAGCATGCATTAGCTCTAATATTTAAGCAATCCTGCCACAGTGGCACCATTACCCCCACTTCACAAATTAGGAAACTGAGACTCAGAAAGCTTGTCTTTAAGTAGCCCATCTGGTTTCTTCATCATCTAGTGATAAAGAAGTCTCGCTTCCCCTTTGGACTAGGTTTGCCTCCCAATACAAACTGAGCCATTATGCTCAGTGCAAATACAGCAGGACTTGTGGCAGATCTCTCTCCTCTCTTTTAAATTATCTACTGGGCCCGCCTGATCCTGCCTGTCGTTCTCTCTACCACACATGGGTCCAGCCACATTGTTGGGAGGGGCAGAGACAAAGATGCAGGAACGGACTAGATGTCACCAGAATCCCTGCCAATAATGATACCCCCAAAGTGATACAAGTAGCACAACTCAAGAAGAGCACATCTCCAGATCATGTCTTGGGGAGGCTGGACATGGAAGGATGGTAATGCACCAAACAAGGCTATGGATGGGTGGTGGCCAAAAGCTAGGAAAGCACAGAGATTGTCTCTGCAATAAACAGATCTCAGTTCAAGTCCTCTGCCACCTGCCAGCTGTGTGACAAGTCTGGCCTTTGACTTCATCTTTCTGACCCTCACTTTCATCTGCAGAAACAAGATCATTACCCTGTTGCTTTGCTGCTTGGACCACATGAGGTAATGTTAATGACACATTTACACGGTGCATCTAAATGCATCTAATAAGCAGTTGCTGCTAGCAGCATCATCATCACTGGCACGTCAGCACTAGGGTGACGGTAGAAAGCGCTAAGAGAACGCAGGGATAGAAAGTAAAGTGGACACATGACGTAGGATACTGACAGCCTCCTTCATCAAACTTCAGAAATGAAGCCCATGGGGAACCAGTCTCTTTGAGCCTAAGGCCACAACTACAGTGAAGGCTCTTTCCACTTGGACTTGACTAATTCAGAAACTGTGACAGTTAAGGCAGAAGAGGGAAGGGACCCAAGTTCTGTCGAACAGATAATTAACATAAAGACATCAAGGAATCATTTATGCTACTTAAGACCAATTTCCCAACTCCAGCTTTATATTACTCCTGTGTTTCCAACTTAACAGGATAACAGGACATGAATCTTAAGAGTCTCTATATAAAATTGGTGAAAATTCCTTTTCATCTGGAGAATCAGGAGAAGGTAGAAAACTCAGTGAGGTTAAAGCAACTGTTCTACTTAAATGGTTTCCAGTCACCTAAACACCACTCGCATATGGAAATTTAATATGGTATTTACAAATCATGTTTATCTATTCATTAAAGCAGGGCTCTGAGAAGCTTCACAAGACCAAAAAAAAAAAAAATCCTTTTAGCTTAGTTTAGGTCTGAAATGCTTGAAAGCATTTCATCCACTTTCTTAATTAGGAAATACTAAGCCTCAATTAAATGAAAAAACAGGTCTCATTTTACATGTGTATATTATTATTGCGTTTCACTCCTACTCTGCAGATAAGGAAACTTAAGTATAGGTGTGACAGTAATTTGTTCAAAGATGCATAGTTGGCCAGTGGTGGAGCTGGAACTTAAACTGCAAGCTGCTTGACAAACTTGTCCTTTGTGATGAGCCTAAACTGAACACCTCCTACAGCACCAACACTCTATGTGGTACTATGACGACACTCTGCACTAATATTGGCATAACTCTTGCACCTTGCAATCTGCAATTCAGATGTTCTAAAAGTGCATTCTCCAGTAAGTCC